AGAGAGAGAGAGAGAGAGNGAGAGAGAGAGAGAGAGAGGTTCACCCCTTTGGGGTCTTGGAAAGGGATATCCAAGAAGGAGGTGATTCTCTAGGAGAGACAAGGTCACCCTTTTGGGGGTAAAGGGATCTCCAAGAAAGAGGTCATTCTCTAAGAGAGAGAGACATGACCTCCTAGAGACGGATAATATTCCCATCGGGTTTTAGGTCGGTTAAATTTCTATTAATAGAGAGAGAGAATTCTCTTGGTTACTCTCAAGATTCTCTTTCCAGTAGCGGTGCAGTAATGGGAAAGATGAGGTCGATTGGTGGTGTTGCTTAATCGGGAGAGTGGGTTTAGGAGGGAAGATTTAATCGGGAGAGTGGGTTTAGGAGGGAAGATCGGTGAGGTTTTTGCTTGTAACCTAAAACTGTAATCTTGATTGTGATTATAGATTTCTACTTGCCGAGGTTGTGGACATAGGTCTTAGGGGCGAACCACGTAAATATCTGTATCGCTATGGTGTGTCTTTTGTGTTTGCTTCATTTTTCACACTTCTTTTCTTGTTGTATTCACTTTTTTTGTGTTTAGCCAACTGTGTAAATGGCCTTAGGTGGGATATCGGTGTTTGGGATTCCTAGTTTCACAAGCAAGAGGTTCCTTGGGACCCTACAATCGGTATTAAAGCACAAAGTGTGGACGGGGCTAAGGTTTGAATTTTCAATGGAGAAAAAGATGGATGGCGAAGTTAGATGGATACTAGGTTTGAGGTCAAGAAATATAGAGGCAAAGTATTTGCAAAAATTTTAGAATGGAGGCAATAAAGAAGAAAAATCAAGAAATATCTAGAATGAAGGTCGTCAAGGCGAAAATGTTGATTTTGCCACCTCATCTTTCCCACCTCAACTTTCCCACCTCATCTTTTCCCACCTCATCTTTCCCAACTTCATCTTTCCCACCTCGAGGAAAGATGAGGTTGATTGATGGTATTGCTCGGCTAGGACTGCGGGTTTAGAAGAGAAGATTGGTGAGGTTTTTGCCAATGTTTAGACAGATATTTCTCTTGTAACCTGAAATTATAATTTTCAATATGATAGTGGATATCTACTTGCCGAGGTTGTGGATTTCGCCCTCAAGGGTGAACCACGTAACTATTGTTTTGTGCCTTGTGTATGCTTTACTTCTTGAATTTCTTTTTTGTTGTATTCACGTATTTCACATTTAACCAACTATGTACATGATCTTGGGTGGGATCATGATATTTGGGTTTCCCAGTTTCTCAAGCAAGGAGTTCCCAAGGACCCTACATATCTCTCTCTAATGTATTGATACTTCCCTCCTATTTGAAGTCCTTGCCAGTCGCAAGGATGTTGTAACTCTTGGCAAGTTGTTTTCTTTCTAGGCTTGCGGATGTTGTGTGCTCAACATATATCTTGACATGGGCATTAAGGATCGCATATAGGATTCTGGCAATCCCCTTTAAAGGTTGTGATGGATTATTATTTTTTTGACAGAAAGCCATTTAATGAGATGTAGAGCAATTTAATTCATTATTAGGGGTTGCTAAAATCTAATCCATGGCCAGATGATGTGATAGAAGCGATCCAATCCATGCCATTATGCTGTAGCATTGCCTTTGTCAAGTGACTCTAGGACACCTTCAGGGCTGCCATGAGATGCAGTTCAGCATATAGAAACACTAGGACTTGACTTGTTACTGCCATCTGTAAACTAAGCATAAGTGCTGCAATGGACCCACCCCCACCCTCCTACACAGTATGTGAATTGGAATTTCATTGCCTCAGCCAGAACTCGTTGCTAGATACTGATTTGGCTGACAGGCATGCTGAAGGCTCACTTGGACCTGGACCATCTGAGTATATCATCCATGGCCTTGGCCAAAACTTCCTGCTTGACTTGCATGGGATGACCATGTTCTTATTTCTATGGGCCATCCTGTTTTCATAACTCCTGCATCCTATAGTTTCATAGCACCCGTTGCTCCAAAATATAGAGTGAGCATACTTTTGGTTTTGGAACACCATGGGCATTGCCTGGTTCTAGAAACATTCTGGGAAAAGTTAATGTTGGATTTATCTTCACTACCTCTTCATTTCTGTCTTAATACCTAGTTGGGTTATGTCAATCGTCAACAATCGAACATGTATCAAGTCATGAGCCTCTTCATTTCTGTCTTAATACCTAGTTGGGTTATGTCAATCGTCAACAATCGAACATGTATCAAGTCATGAGATGTTTATAAATTTTGACGATTAGAGACTACTGAAATGTTGAGGTTTGAGATTCTTGGTGTCAATTGCTTTTATGAGTCATTTGGGCATTATGGTTAGAATAGAAGCTCATGGAATACCACTCTAATTTGAATTTTAACAAAAGAACACTATCTGCATTGAATGTTTATCATCTCAAGGCATCTTCTTTTTCTTATTGTTATTAATTTACATAAAAGGAGTACTATTCAAAATATATTCGAACAAAATGCAACTCCTCATATGTCAAATAGATCCTGAAGGCCCATACGCTCCCTACTAGCTCCTGTTCCTGCCAAGCTATTTGTGGACTGCTCTTTTTATTGGTAGTTCTTGTGGAGGTTGCTACCCTTATTATAAGATAACAGTAAAATTCTTTAGTCCACGTCTCCACAACCTGCTTGGCCTCCACCATCATGGAGATTGTTGTTGTGACAATGTTACTATATGTCACCTTAGTAACTACTACTTTAGAAAGTATACCAACAATTTACAGGCACCAGCACACAGCATTCATCTCACAGAAGTCTTGGAATGTGTGATATGAATGGTTATTGAGTCCTGAACTACTTTTAGCAGTATAAAGCTACAGATTGTTTTTAATTTAGAAGATACTGTTTTTTTCTTACAGTGAAATTTAGGAAAAAGCTTCCTGCTTGAAAGTCAATACATATTCCTATAGTTATTTTGATTTTCATATTGATTTTCTTTTTATTTGATTATGCTCTGTTGCCATTTCTATTTGAGTTTGTTCACTGGATATAATCTGGTCCTAGTCATCTTTCTGCATCGGAAAATTATTCTTTTATTTGGGTGACTTAATCTGGTTGTGGTCATCTTTTTGTATTAGCGTTTGATGTTTATCTATTCAGACAATGTACTGTGGTAATTTTTTCAGGTCTTCAATGTTTTCTACATATATTGGAGCCTTTCGAGTTTCTTGGTTGGCAAAGGTGATTACTTTATGAACTTGGATATATCCCTTCCTGTTGCTTGTAGCATTGTTTTTCCTGTCAATTCAATAAGAGAAATGTTTGAGGGAAAAGGGTTGCAGAGTAACACACTTGATGTTGGATTTTTGTGGCCATTTAAAGGCCTTACGAGAGGAAATTATAACTATAGTGATATGATAAATCCAATGGGAGTACGGTCCAGAGGAACCAAAGGATTATGGTTCAAAGGGACCGAGGTTGGCCAATATTGTTGCCGAGACTCAAACTAGGGTTGACGAGCTAGGTCAGTTAAGTATTAAAACCTTACGATACCTTGGTATAGAGCACACCCGATAAGGGTTAGCAGGTTTATTCCTTTATAAGGTCGGAGATGTCCAAGGTAGTTAGCCAAGGGATTGTGTGACCTTTGTGTGATTGGTGGGCTTGAAGGGACAAGGGCCAAATCCTCATCATAGACCACCACACAACATGCACACATGCTAGCCGATTGGGAAGCAAAACACCATTGAGGATGATGCTGATGCATGTACATGTGCAAGAGATAACCCCCATACACCAATTGTGATATATGTGCACAGGCCTGCGTGACCCAGGACTTGTCCCTAGGGGGAACTTGCAATCCATAGACTAGGATTCTGTCCCTCACTTATTGGCTGACTTTGGTAGCCCAATCATGAACCCCTGTGATGAACTGTGGGTCATGGGAATTACTGGGTCAGTTTGAGAAAATGGGCGTGGTTCATGATCTCTAGTGGAAGATGGAGTGCTTTAGTAATTTCGCTTTTTTCTCAACATAGTTGTATCCGAATCCCATCCAATTAATTTAAAAATAATTAATTTGACTATAAATGATTTTTAGACTGATAAAATGAATTTTAAAAGTCTCTGAATATTTAATTTTCTTAAAAAAATATATAAATAGTCTTAAACTAAGATCTTTCTACTGCTTTAGAAACATAGATTTCTACTTTACTCGGTAAATGAGGTAAGTGTTGCATTATGAACCTTTGATTCAAACATTGACGTGTTGTTGGAGTAACTCATTCCCTTCTAGGTGGATTTGCCACAACATGGGCATTCTTCTTAGCAATAATTATTTCAGTAGGATAATGGCTGAGAGGATTTGAAAGGAATTTGAAGGACAACAAACGAATACGATTTTTCAGCCAAACACATGCAAAATTGGAGAAACTCTCCACCCAAGCTAGGCGCTTGGAGCTTTTACTCTTTCTTTTCTGAAAACAAAGTCACGTGGAATTACCCCCTCAAGGCCCCATACTCCTCTTATTATAACATAATATTCAAGGGTATTAAATGGCCATACAATAAATAAATGGCCCAAAAAAACTAACTTAAACACAAATTTTATAATGACAAATTTACCACTGGGAATAATAATCATTGAATAGTACCCATAAATAGTATCATGAACAATACCTGTGAACAGTAATTAGTGAATGGTAAATCATTAGTGCCTTTTTCCAACTAATTGGGTTCAGCTAACTAGTGAATAGTAAATAAAACTATAAAAGAACCCTATAGTTCCTAAAAAAAAGTAAACCCAATTAAAATTAAAATATACATCCTTTAAAATTGAATGAAAATTAAAAATAAGAATAATTTTGTCATGCCTCAAATTTCTACTTACAATTGCCACAATGTAATGTAGAAATAGAAGATAAATACACAAATCAAGGATCTTTGACTTTTATTGCAAAATAAAACTTTTATTGCCAAATAAAACTTTTATTCATAAATAAATTCAAACCTATAATATGAATTCTAATACAATTAGGAATTCTAATCTAAGGAGTCCTAGTCAGTGTAGGAATTCAAATTTAAATAGGACTCCTGAAATAACTAGGCCTTCTAAGAAAATACAAATCAAGAACTGAAAATAAGCTAATAAACCAAAAAAAGAAAAAAAATGGGAAGACTTGTTGAACCTTTGCCTAGGATTACCCCCTTAGGACATAATACACCCCACACCAGATTACTGAACTCATGGTGCACTCGATCCTTAGGTCCTTTTGAATCCTCTGAACGTGAGAAGCACATTTGAAATACCTTCTTAACAGATCTATGGGGCTGATAGCACAAAACAAGACTGGATTTCTTTCAACCCCTAAACTTTGGGTCATGCCACAAAAGCACCTACCTTGAGCTCAAGGTAGCATATGGGCTGGGCGTACTCCACTCCCTAACTTGGCGAGCGTAAGTGGTATGAGCCATCCTTTATGGCGCTGCCTTTTAGGTGGGGTGTACGTGCCTTAGAGAGAGGGGAGAGAGAGAACTAGAGCGGGGCATGGAGGAGAGAGAAGGAGAGAGGGAAGTCTGAACACAATTGATGGGAGTGAGGGGAGGAACCCCCTTTATAAAGGCTTGAAAGCCCTAGGATATTCCAACTTGAATTAAGACTCAATTTGACTTTAGGAGTCCCAAGTACTCTATAAAGTCAGAGCGAAAATAAATCAGAGCAATCCTTTTTTGGAATCATCCATCATGATTAAGAAGGATTCTACAGACCTTATCCCTTGAATCTTTGATCCATATCTACTTCGATTAGACTAGAACGAGATCTTCCATAGTCTCATAAAATTTGGACTCTTATTCATATAGAAATAACTTCCGATAACTTTAGAAATCCAAGTCAACAAGGAAAATATTTTTCAAACTGATTTTCAAAAAACGGAAAAATTATTTTCCATATTTATCTGGATTCCCGAACAAATATCCAAACCTACTCGGAGAAATGTGGGGTATCCATTATGTGGGGGGTGAGGTCTAGTGGGCCCCACGTCGCACACCCAAGTGGGTCCCTCACATGTGAGGGTTGGGTTGTTGCCCCCCCACGTGGGTCCCACTCCAACAACATGTCCTTAGAAACTCGAGAAATATCAAAACTGCTCTTTAGGGCTTTTTAATGGTTAAAATAAATGCTTTTTTTTTTTTGAAAAATAACGAAAACTTGTAAGAAAATAAATAAGTCGAAAATAATATTTCTGAAGTTCTTAAAAATTCTAAAACACTAAAAAATACCTCTAGAATTGGATTGGTACCAATGGGTCAAGAAAAAGTGATTGTCAGGGCACTCAACCTATGTTAGAAACCATGATTCATGTCTATCTTCTCAAACCAACCCAACAAGGCCCATGACCACAGTCATACGTAGGGGCTCATGGTTTGGCACATCAAAGTTGGGCAATAATAGTGGAACCACACTCTTAGTATGTAGATTACATGGCCCCTTCTAAGAGCAAGTCACCTTTACGTATCACTATAGTACAAGGGGCTCTCTCTATGCACATATACATGTAGTCTCTATTGAGTTACTCCGTACGAAAGTTTATTGAGGATTTGGCCCTCACTCTCATAAGCCTACAACCACAAACTCCTGGCCAACAAACCATCTTTGGGCATCTCTCCAACCTCAACAATGGATAACCTTATTGAAACCCTCAATGGTATTGCCTATGCTTAGGGGGAAAGGGTTTTGGACATGACCTGGGCCGTCGACTGCCCAATCCTAAGTCAATCAACCCACATACACTTCCACAGAAGTGCACAATTCACAATATTTAGTATTTTTATATGCTATCACGGGCTTTAAAGGCCACAAACCCGAAAAGGTCCTATGGATGTAAAAAGAGTGGAGTTGGCTACATTAAAAGGATGACAACATTATACATCCATCTGGCCAAATGCATATATGCTTTGTCTACTGTTTTCTCCTCAACCAACACAATTTTGTTGGGTGGTTAGGTGCATGTTGTTGTCCTAGGTGAAAAATAATCCTTAATCTCACTTGGCCTCCTTGTACTGCGAGACATAGTCCCAATAGAAATTGTATTTGCATGTTCTTTCCTAGCTCTCCTAGTCTTAGACAATTGGCCTTCTTCTTCTTCCTCTTCAACATGCTCTTCTATAAAAGTTGGGTAAAGATTCTTGATCTTGACAAGAATTGTCCACCTCCTTTGCTTCTTACTACCAACTCATTTGATGCTTATTTGCATCTCAGACATCATGTGAGGGGGAACTTTAGGGCATTTGGCTACATTCCCTTGCTTGTGTGCCAAATGCCCCCTCACCCTATCCTCCCCCTTGGCCGCCCCTCCCCCTCCTCTTTTGTTTTGAAGAATATATTCGTATGTTTTCCCATTTATCACCTTTCTTCCCTTCTAATGTGCCCCCATGCCAGGTCTGATATTTTATTACACCCACTGGCAGCCATATTTAACTCCTAAAATTCCTAATGCTAAAAGATATTATGCTTCTGCTGGAGTATATTGTCCATTTACTCCTTGGGTAAAAACCCATCTCGGATAAATTTTAGGACCCCAAATTTTGAGCATGTAACCTCTTATAACCATAGAACCTCAATAAAAAAAAATCCTAATTGCATCCTCTATCCATTGAAAAAAAGTAATGGTTAAGATTGAATAGAGACCGTCCAATTTTTAGACGGTGAGATCTAAATGTTAGAAAACTCAAAATTCAATTTTTTTTGTTTTTTTGTTTTTTACTTTTAAAAATAATCATTTAGTGATTCTTAGGTGGTTTCCAAAATTCTGGGTTGAAAAAATCTTCCCAAGTAGGTCTTTTGACTGAGGGAGTAGGTGTACACTATGGTCCCACTATGCTCCCACGGGAGCATAGTTATGCGGTCATTCTTTATTTAGTGATTTCAATGACCCAAAATTCCAACTTCTAACATCCAAGAACCACACTAATCAACCAACATAAAAGCTCACACTCATGACTCTCCAAACTACCACCAAGCACACTTCACAAATCAATAATAATCATGTTCAGCAACCCTGCATCAAAAGAAAATAAAATATAAAATTAATGAATCAAAAAACATTTTAAAAGACCTTGCTTTTCTAAATCCATACTTTTTAACGCTTTTTGTAATACTATGATAGCCTTCAAACATCAACGGAACAAATAAATTCATGAAAGAATTCAGCTAAAAATAGAATAAGTTGAAAATATGAAACAACAATATTTCCATGAAACCAAAAATAAAATAATTTATATCAAGTATAAATGGTTTTTTGTAATCCATACTCCATAGGTTCGTTAAACTTGGCCTTATTTCAACACTTCAATGATTAAGGTGCTAAAGAACAAAAATAAAAAGAAAACCTACTATTTATCTTTAAAAATGCATAAAATGCTTCTTACAAAGAAAAAATATGCAACATACTAAAATAAACTTAATAAAGATTAATCATCCACTAAAATCAATAAAAGAAACACGGTACTTGGGGCTTCAAATCGGGTGGAATGATGGCCGGAATCTTCCCCAAAAGTCTCTAGGAAATAAAGCTAGGGTTGGACTGTTTTCATGTAGAGAGAAAGAGGGAGAGCGAAAATCACCAAAGTACTTTTCTCTCTCTAAAAAAATGGCTTCTAAAACCCTTAGACCACCCTTATAGGGTTGGAGTGTTTTCGGGTAGAGAGGGACGGAGAGAGAAAAATCACCAAAGTTTTTTTTTTCTCTCTCTCTCTCTCTCTTTAAAAAAGGGCTTTTAAACCGTTAAATCACCCTTTTAAGCTAAAAGCCCAAAACTCCCCTTGGAAAATTAGATAGGACCTACAAATTCACTAAAAAATGTGGAAAAATGGAGCAAAATAAAAAAATGCGGCAAAAATACAAATGCTATGGGGGTATTAGGCCCGATTGGTTTAGTAGCAAACTAGTGGATTGGCTGGTCCACCGTTTATTATCTGTTTGGTGGACATTCTGGTCTCGTGTGTCAGATCATATTGGAATGGCCACTAGTTGGCTAGTTCCCAGGACCGGCCAATCTAGTCCGATTCAGATAACCTTGTCTCATTTACTGTGCTTTTTGAGGTTGACCTTGAGACTGGATGCAAAAGTTCAATTGTTTCTTAGTTAGACCTTCCCTTGAGTGAACTCAAGTTGGCATCCCAGCCAGGGAATTATATGATGATTCTCAAAACTCATATTATTGCAACCTGGCTGAGTTAGGGCATGTACATTTTTGATAATAAATTATCTGTTGTTTGACAGTGTCCATTATAAAGTTGTTTGAGGTAATAGGAAGTCCTACATATAACTTTATGTTTTTGAAAATTGTTTTACTTTATTCAAGATAATTTGCTAAAAATAATTGTTTTTAGCCAAAAATAGCTAAAAATCACCAAAAAATTAAGTAATTAAACAGTATTGTATATAATACAAGGTACATACTAAGCAACTAACAAAATAATATTATCCAGAGTATATTAATTTCAGATAAGATAGTCTATACCAGATGGAAGTAATTATCATCCAAACATACCCTCAGAATATTAAAGCATTGCCCTTAGTTTCCCCTGCATAATCTGGTTGTCTTGTAAATTGTCTCTCATGATCCTCCCAAAGGTCTCCTTTCACTCTATTCTGTTATCTTATCAGATTTTTCCAACAAAGCCAGTCTCTATAAGAATATGCTTACTCATTCTCTTCCAAATCCATAGCATATAATGAAATCTTCAGTAATGATTTGTTCCTAATATTGGTCCTTCGATAAACCTGCCCTTGTCTACTTAAAGTGAGGGCTGCTAACACCAAATAAAGGTCTTTTGGAAGAACAAGCTGTCAATGAAGACGATCATTCTTGAAAAGAAGCCAGTCCAGGTCTTCTAGTAACTTCCTTTGTAAGACATACTAGATGGGTGGGATCCATTTCTCGAATTTTCTAATATATGCATTCCATTAAAAAAATTTCTCTTATATAATCACTCTAGTCGGATACCAACCAAGAGAAGAAGCCACCCGAGTTTGCACCTCTAGTTGCCATATCCTATGATATGGAGAATGGAGGAAATCCCATTAAACGAACTCAAAAAAATCAAGGAGCAATGTCCCTCCAGATACAACTTAGCAAGGCCAGGCAGGGAAATTAGGTTAGGAGTGTAGCAAACATTTCTTACATTTTAACAACATATCTGGATGTCCTAATGTTTCTGAAAACAACGGTTGTCTCGGAAGACCCTTCATGATGTGATAAGAATCTCACCATAATTCCCATATGCATTTCCTATTTATTTGAGTTCCTTTTCCTAGATGAAATCATGGAAGTACATATTTCTACAGGAGGAGAAAGATAGATCGATGAGGTTTATAATGGGTTTGGAGCAGATAGATATGTGTCAAGCTTTAGATGGTAGATATACTGATCAAGCTTTAGTTGTTAGATTTATGAATATTGGAGCTTTAGATGTTAGATTTATGAATATTGGGAAGTATCTCACATATCCTTTTACTTTTGACTAAACTCTCATAAGCACTTATGAGTGCATGCTCTATGTCATGCACGCGTACAAGAGAGTTCCATGTATTCAATCCTTTTAGCATACACATCAATCTTTCTCATGGAATAAAGTGCATTTTACTGTTGATATGATTTTTGTTTGGGGTGGTTTGTTTGAGGTGTCAACTTTAAACAATCAGAGTAAGGCGTACGTCCAAACTTTGTTAGAAGATGTAATTTTGGTGTCAGAAATTCCTACGATAGCCTGAAAATCTATTTTCACCTCTAATTAGGAAATTTAAACACTGAAAATGGTACACATTGAGCTTATCTATATGCACTTCAAGGCCTTGGAAATGGACGGTCTAGCTAATGTGTTACAAGATGCACTATGTTTAGGATGCCCCTATTTTTTTTCTATATCCATACATTTCAAGTTGGGCTTGATCAATTCGAGGGCTTTCCATTGTCAGAAGACCATTTCTGATGGGTTTTTGAGTTTTGCCTTATTTCTACAGTGTAAGGTTGACACCTTATAAAAACTTTTCCCTTTTCGTATTTTCTGAAACTGATTTTCATGGAACGAAACCACATTTCTTTCATTGTTTGGAGAAAATGGTTTAACATACTTACCCTTTCTTGGAATAATGTTTCCTTCCTATGATCTTCTCTTGACATTTTTCGTTTTCTTATGCAGTTACCATGTAGAGGGCGATGGTTCTCATCTGCTGGTATAATTTCTTCTCTTATTCAATCTTTTTTATTAACATTGTTTTGCGGCACGTCCTTGCATGATAAAAAATTATTGGGAGCTCTAAAGCTAGTCTGAGATAATAAAATAAACTGGTATTATAAACTTCTCTAGTCTTCTAGAACATTTCTTGAGGGATTACCAGGCTTTTTTATGACCATTTTTTGTATTAGTAAAGTAGAATATGAATTTAGCTAGGACTGTTACACTATTATGTGAAATTAATTGTTGTGAGCCTTATTTATTGGAAGCCATCTAGTGCTTAAAATCATTAAATGAAGTGAAAATTTTATTTTCCTGTTTCCTTCTGTAGATCAATTACATTTTAGCTGTGGCTGCAAAGTCCTGGTTGACACTATGATAATTTTGTTTGATTTATGAAGTTTCTATCTCATGCTAGGTTGGAGTGCCCTTTAAATTCCTTATGTAGTTCCGCTTTAAAAAAAAAAGAATTTCTAAATTATTCAATCTCTTCCTCTGCATGGACATATCAAAGTCCTGAAGTGAAAATTTTATTTACTGGTTTCCTCCTGTAGATCAATTACATATTAGCCGTGGCTGCAAAAGTCCTGATTGACATTGATAATTTTGTTTGATTTATGAAGTTTCTATCTCATGCTAAGTTGGAGTGCCCTTTGAATTCCTTATCTAGTTCTGCCTATAAAAAAAAAAGAATTCCTTATCTAGTCAATCTCTTCCTCTGCATGGACATATCAAAGTCTTCCCTTGATGTAGTAGCAGAATCCAATGAGTACTTGGAGAAAAGAGAGAGAGAGTGAGAAAAACTGTACAAGAGGAAAAGTGGGCCACAAATGAGTCGCGAACAATATTAGGCCTATCCTAGTAAAGGAAACTAATAAAAGGTGTTATTTCTGATAAGTAGGATTGATTTTGGTCTTTTATAAGTCACTCAAGTTGTAGGGTTATTTCAGTACTTTTCCTTTATTTTATGTTTAAGGGTCTAGATTAAAAGATGGGCATTTAAATCTAAGGGCTGGTATTGCACCCTACATAGAGAGTGACAAATGTACGCCCATGCAAGGCCGACTAGCCACCGTTTGCTTGAAGTTTTGAATGAAAAACAGCAGGAAAAAGGAACAATCCAACACTCTCCATTTTCTTTGGGCACATGATCTCTAGGGTGGATCCCTATTTCATGTTTATCTACTTGATCTTCTCTCTCCAACTTCCCTCTTCTTCATCATTCACGCAGATCTCAACGGTTTGTGCCTTTTAAAAAGACAAATATCGGCATCAGTTGGTATTTGAGCTATTCGTTTTTTCCCTAGGACTGCTCCTTTAACTCATGGGTGCACGGGGAGGACAAGGTATTGCATGTGCAGATCGCCTGATTTGTCGCCTGAAATGAGGAGATCAAATTTCTAAAGAAGAAAGTAGTATCTTTAACCCAATGATATAGAAAACACATTTTATAGCTGTCCTCTGTGTAGGGAACCATTTGAGCAGGGAAAATGCTAATAGGACACAGTCTTGTTGTGTAGAGGTCTTGGTATTGAAGTAGAAATTCCTGAATTTTGTGGTCTGTTAAGGGCTGAAGATTTTACTGACTGGTTGAACAACGTCTACAAAATCGTTGATTATAAAGATGTGCCGGATGAGAAGAAGGTGAAGCTGGTCGCTATGAAATTGAAAGATTATGCATCAGCAGGGTAGGGAGAGTTAAAATGACACTGGAGAGGAGAGGGAATTAGAAAATCACAAATTGGGAAAAGATGGAGTGGAATTTATGTGAAACTTTTTTGCCTTTTAATTATGCCCAGGCCATGTATCAACATTTACATTCTCTTTGGCAAGGAGATGGAACTGATAGACGATTATGCCGAAGAGTTTAATGTACTGAATCTGCTAATTACCTGTAATGACCTGTCAGAAACTGATGAACAACTAGTCTCACGATCTGTAGGGATATTGAGGCAGCAAATACAGGACATTTTGTCCTTACAATTTTATGGACTGTTTTGATGGCAAGCCATTGTGCCCTGGTGGTGGACAGTAGGGAAAGGTCAACTTACACGAATGAAGTCAACAACCCAAGTGGGAAAGTTCAGGATCAGGCAACAGTACCATAAACTATATGTTTTTGAGCAACAAAAGAGACTTCCAAATACTGTGGGTCTATGTTTGTAGAAACCAAAACAGCAGAGCATCATTCTGTTGTTGCAAGTGTGGGTATCTAAATCATAAGTCCTCAGGCAGTAGGAAAAATTCCAATCACCTGGCAAAAGGTAAACAACTAATAGTTGAAGGGAAGGAGGGTGATAGGGATTGTCTATGATAAAGAATTTGGAGAGAAGAAGAAGATGACGGGTTATGTATGGTGATGAGCTGAGGCATTTGTTATTTGGAAGAGATTGGTTTTACTGAAATATAAAACCAAGGAGGGTTGGTTAAGAATGAATATTTTGCACACAGATGCACCATCTCTGGGAATGTATGCGAGCTGAACATAGACAGCGGGAGTTGTGAAAATGTGATCTCCCAATAGGCAGTAGATAAACTCAAGTTGAGTGAAAAGAAACATCCAAGGCCTTTTGAGCGGTCCTGGCTCAATAAAGTGAGTGAGGTAACTGTCTCTAAATGTTGCCTTGTTCATTTTCCATTCGAAAGAACTACCTTGATAATGTATGGTGTGATATTGTCTCCATGGATGCATGTCATATGTTGATGGGAAGGCCATGATAGTATGACTGTGGTGCCATTCGCGATGAGAGAAAGAATACTTATACATTTTATAAGGATGATGTCAAAATAATCTTGGGACCCATGAGGGAGGGAACTGCATCTAGGCCTAGTCAAGGGAGTGTCCATTTTTTTCATTGGCAAGTGGTATTGAAGAGGCCCGAGAGTGTGGACTGATGTATGCTTTGGTAGTACAGAATGATGTAACGCTCTACCTGAGGAGGTTGAACCCCTAATTAGGAATTATGGGATTGTTATACCAGAACTTCCTTTGGGATAGCCTCCCATGAGGGACATAGCCGTTATGCCAGGCTCTAGTCTACCAAATAAGGTGGCAAATTGGATGAGCTCTGAGGAACACAAGCCCATTTTTACCAAAAAATGGCTGCATACCAAATTGGCAGGTTATGGAGTTAGTGGTAAAGGGCTTGATCTAGGAAAGCACGAGCCCATGAGCTCTACGAGCCTTATTGACAACAAAAAAGATTGGGACATGACGCATGTGTGTGGACGGCATGGCTATTAACAAAATTGTCATCAGATATCACTTCCCTATACAACAATTGGACTATATGTTGGATTTGATAGTGGGTGCTGAGGTGTTTTCCAAAATTGATTTAAAGAGTTGTTCACAAAGTATAAGGCCTAAGGATGAATGGAAAATGGTATTTAAGACACTTGAATGGGTTATATAAATGACATGTCATGCCATTTGGGTTGTCTAATGCACCTGGCATGTTTATGAGGGTGATGAATCGGGTGCTTAAACCCTTTATAGGAGGTTTGTGGTTGTATACTTTGATGGCATCTTGGTGTATAACCCTTCCAGGGGAGGCTCACAAACAGCATTTCCATGAAGTTTCTGAAGTGTTACGAAGGGCAAACCTGTATATAAATTTCAAGAAGTGTAGTTTTCTGACAAATAACATGGTGCTTATTGGATATGTGATATCTTTTGAAGGGGTGAAGGTGGACCAATGCAAGGTGAATATTATCCTCGAAAGGTAGACACCTAAAAAGTTTACATATCGCCATTTTAATCTGCAATTTCAGCATGTTGATAGCCCCTAATACAGATTGCATGAAAAAAAGGGTTTTCAGATGGACCTAGGAGATATAGAGTAGCTTCAAAATGGTAAAAAGAAAGACCAGTGTTCGAAAATTCAGGCGCCCGACCGCCTAGGTGAAAAAAATTAAAAAACGTCTAGGCGCTGTCTGGGCGCGGTCATTATGCGCCTTGTCTCTAGGAGGCTGCCTAGGTGGGCAAGGTATTTCCTAGACACTAATATCTGGGCGCCACCCCGTGACACTTTGCGGACGAGCAGAAAAAAACCCTCGGTAAAAGGATTTTCGGGGTTATTTTGGCCTTTAGCGTGAGAAAATCCTCCAAAAACTAATCTTTCGTGATTTATCGAAAAATCGATAAATTTTTTACGATTTCTTCCCAAAACAAAGGCAATAGTTGTGGGTGAATTTAGAGCTTATAGTAGTTGATTTTGAGAACTTTAGAGGAGGTTTGCACTGCATTGATTTGATTTTGATATTTTTAAATATTATCATATTTGAAAAAGGGTTTTGATTTTATTTTGTTACAATATATTATGTTGTGAATCATGTGTATTTTCTTTTTCTTTTTTTTTTTCTCATACGATATATTTATATGTTTGTAGGTAAAAAATTGGTTTTTTTTTTTGTGATTAATTGATTTTTTTGTCATTTGGACAATGAAATTGAGCATATATCGTATCTTTTACAAATAGTTCACTCATTTTTTGTACAATGTGTCATGTTTTGATATTCTATTATTTTTGTTTATCTTTATTTGATAAATAATGATTATGTATTTATGTGATATCTTAATGAGTTAAGTCTTAATTCTTAAAATGAAACTAAGGTCTTATATATTCATTTAAGTCTTATTGTAAAGTAATATTAAGTCGTACTGTTTTGAAACTAGCATCTTAATAATATCATATCATATATCTTAATTCTTTATTAATTGATATCTTAATGAGTAAAGTCGTCTTGTAAAACTAACATAGTAACAACTTAATTTTATATATTCATTTAAAACTCATATCAAGGGGGGACAGGGGGGTTTCAATCTTTTTGAGGATTGTGAGGGTACCCTGTCCTTGGGCAGGTGCATAGGCTTCCAGGCACCCAAAACATCTAGGAGCCCGAATCCGCATTTTTGAACACTGAGAAAGACGACTGAAGCACCTGGACTTTCTATGCTAAATGGTGGTAAAGCGTTTGGAGTGAGTTGTGATGCCTCCAAATACACATTTTTTAGTTAGAAGATATAGTGTTCTATGCTATTATGCAGGCCTTGCGTCATTGGCATCACTATTTGGTGCAATGAGAGTTCATCTTATTTTCAGACCAGGAGGCGCTGAAATATATCAATGGGCAACACAAGTTGAATAGGCGGCATATGCCAAGTGGGTTGCTTGTTTACAAGAGTTTACTTTAAACTCTTTCACGCTGCAAGAGTTTAAAGTTGCTGATGCACTAAGAGAAGAGCAGCTTTATTGAGTACTCTGAAGGAAAATGCTATGGGCTTTGATACCTTCAAGGAATTTTACGCAAATGACACGTATTTTGTAGTAATTATGAGGGAGGTATTGGCCGGACATTGCACTGATTTTTGTGCGCACAATAGGTTTCTCTTCCAGGGAACTAGGTCGTGTGTACATGAATGCTCACAATGAAAGAAGATTATCATAAAGCTGCTTGGTGGGGGGTCAATTTGGCAGGAACTTTAACCTTAGTTGAGAAGCGCTACTATTGGTCTAAGTTGAAGCAGTATGCGACAAGTTCTGCCAGGTTTCCAAGTTTCAAAATGCAGGATTATATGCCCAACTTGTAGTTCTGAAAGCACCTTGCTTAGACATGAGCTTGGATTTTGTGTTGGGCCTCCCACAGACTCAACAAGGCATGGACTAGATCATGGTGTTAGGGGACAAGTTTTCTAAGATGGAACACTTCAATCCTTGTTGAAAAACTGTTGGATGCATCACATGTGACTAATCTTTATCCCAAAGAAATTGTTCATTTGCATGACAGGCCAAATAGCATCACTCTTGATCATGATCTGAAGTTTGTTAGCCATTTGTGGAGGTATTTGTGGAAGAAACTGGATACTAAATTTTGCTGTAGCAGTGCCATTCACCCTGAAACTGGTCATACAGAAGTGGTTAATCAAATTACAACGAAGCTTAGTTGGAAACAAGCCAAAGTAATGGGATTTGATACCGCCACCAGTGGAATTTGATTTCAAAAGGTTGAAGAATCGTACCAAGCAGCATAGTCCATTTGAGGCTGTGTATGTATGGAATCCCAATAGGGTTCTAGATTTGATGCCTATCCCAAATTTAGGAAAGACTAAGACGTAGCTGAACACATTAAGTCAATTCATGAGTAGGTATGACAACAAATGGAAGCCAGCAATGCAAAGTACATTGCTGTAGCTAATGAGCACCGCTAGAGAGTAGTGTTTGAAGTTGGAGATTATGTGTGGGGAATATTGAAAGACAGGTTTCTTGTTGTTGAATACAACAAGTTGAGTGAGAGGACAATTGGGCCATGCGAGGTTTTGAAGAGGATAAATGACAGTGCATACCAGTTATATAGCCATGCCATAGCAACACTTCGGATGTGTTCAATGTCAAACACCTAATTCCATATAACGGAGATATATCCTGTGATGATGGTGAGTGCAACTCAAGGATGAGTTCTCTCCAACTGGGGGAGACTAATAATAGTAGCAGTAGTTGGTTTTTTCTTGGAGAATACACACATACATACAAACACACACACACATAGAGAGAGAGAGAGAGAGAGAGAGAGAGAGAGAGAGAAGAAGAAGAAGAAGAAGAAGAAGAAGTGGTTTGCAAATGAGTCGCCAATTCTTTGGCCTATCCTGGTAAAGAGAGCTAATAAAAGGGGCAAGGTGTCAAAAAACGCTAGGCCTGAGGCGGCCTGCCTGGCGCCCAACGCCTAGGTGGACGCCCAAAACCTCGGCCGCCCTGTACTTTTTTCACTTGGGGGTTTTCATATATTGAGGGTTGTTTCTTCTTCTTTTTTTGACTTTGGGGTTAAAAATAAACCCCATAACGTTTTTATACAACCTTGGTGGTCAAAATGACCCCCTTTACCCTTTTGGGTGGTTTAAAAAAACGAAAAAAGCCTTACGGCCTTGGGCGCCCCCGCAGGTACATCCGCGTGTGTAGGGCTGCCTAGGTCTAGGTAGGCGAATTTTTGGTCTAGGCTGCCTTGGTGCCAGGCGGATTGTTTTTTAAAACATTGAAAATGGGTTGTTTGTAATTTATAGAATTTATTTGATCTTTTTATAGTCTCTTAAGTTATAGGGTCATTTTAGTACTTTTTTCCTTTTATTTATGTTGTGTCTTAACAAAAGAAGGGGGTTTTGATCTAAGGGCTGGTATTGCCCCTTGCATAGGCTTTTGAGAGAGACAAATATATGCTTATGTAAGGAAGATCTAGCCACCTTTTGCTTGAGTTTGAATCAAACACAGTAGGAAGAAGAAAGAATGTAGCATTCCCTCTCCATTTCTCTTGGGACATGTTCTCTAGGGTGGATTCAAGCCCTGTCTCATGTGTTTTTACTTGATCTTCCCTCTCCATCTTCCCTCTTCTTTATCTTTCACACAGATGTGAACTGATTATGCCTTTTAAAGCAAAAAAATACCACCCTCACAAAGACAGAACAAAGGTCCATAACAAGTTTTAATGTTTGGAAAAGAAAATCATTTACACATTTACATGGCAGATTCCAATGTTTCACACACTTTCCTGTTGAACAATTGTTCTTTTTATCATCAGCACTTCAACAACAAATACACAATTAGCGAATTATTTGGCTGGAGCTGAAGCTACCTATATAATTTTCACATGGAATGATCTGCCAGAACAGATCTGTTGAAACATCAACATTCCTCTTCCATATGGGATGAAATGTTATATCTGATTGCAGTTTCTAGGAATGCAGCATATGTTCATGGTGCCATTTATTGGAACAATAATATAGGTATTCAAGAATGGTTGTAGTGAGATGAAGTATCCCAAAAATATCTCTGAAAACAATTTCTTTTACTGTTAAAGTCAACCATCCTCTGTTTGGACACATTCTTGGAGTTCATTTTCTAGTAAATGCTTTGGTTTTCTCATGAATGTTGCAGATCTTCCAAGTCATACCATTCTTCCAATGCCGGCATTATCCCCAACCATGGTAAGTTGCGACAGAAGTATTTGAAAGTCATTCTTCAGACTCGTTTACTTCCTCTTTCGTTTCCATTGATATTTGAACTCTTTTAGATCTGCACCTTCAAATTGTTGTCACAGTTCTAGTTCATGTCGACCAAAAGCTAACTGATGGATTTGATGTAATTATGGTCCTCTTCAGAATCAAGGCAACATCGTTAAATGGAGGAAAGAAGAAGGAGATAAGGTCAATTTTGGTGTTCTATGTTGTTGATGCCATATTAATTAAATTTATTATCCTTCTTATTCTGTCTTAGCCAGTATTCTTGGAAATGTGGAGATTTTTTCTACCATTTCGATTGGTTTAATGTTCTGGCAGATAGAAGTGGGTGACGTGATATGTGAAATCGAGACAGACAAAGCAACCCTTGAATTTGAGAGCCTTGAGGAAGGGTAATCATCTTTGCGTCGTTCTCATGGTTAATTAAGAACTGATGCCTTTACACTTGCTTGGTAGTCTTCTTTCCTGCTCTTGTTTTAGACAATCCCATAGAGCAGTGCAATTTTGGCATGGGCTTTCTTTCTCTTTTGCTAGTATTTTTCATGATTCGCTGCTTTCTGAATCGTGTCCCATTTATTAACGTATTGATTTATAAGTAACACATGACTTAGTGAATTTCTTGAAAAGACCAGATTATTTGCAAAGTTTTTATCTGGAGTGATAAATAACGTTGGCTATTGTTGGATGGTGGCTATTCTTAGTTACAGATACGTGATACTTCAATAGATGTGATTTCTTTGGTCTCTTACTTTTAAATTGGTAACAAATTGGATTCCTTTTCGTAGTGATATTATATAAGCCATCAAGAAATACTTCAACAGCTTCATTGTCATGTAACTTTTTCACGACATAGTTATCAAATGCATCTGCATAACACATTTTGCAGCTGCATCAAAGGGGATGCCCTTGGACACCTCGTAAACCCACATATGCATGCGATCATGCGGCTGCATATTTGGTGTATCACCCTCATATGCGGGCGCATTACCCACCTTTCATTCATTCAAAAAGGCTACTCATAAAAGTCAGATCCTTGGGTATATACAATAAGTTGGGGAGTCCCTGTACAGAAGTATAAAGTGGGAAACAAATGAGAGGTACAAAACTAGGCGGTGCCCTGAACATTGAGACTAAACATGTCCATGGAGACTAGACTGTTTCTTAGGTCACTTATTGCGCCTGTGCTGGGACCTTCGAGTGGTCTTCAAGCACACCTGGTGAGAGGCCAACCACATAGCTGGTGTGCTTGCTAAAGAAGGGCCCCTGGGGGATGGGGAGGGGGTGGGGGTGTTGGGAGTGCGCGCACAGTCTTCAGATGGTACCATTTATTGAGATTACTACTTCTGGAAAACTTGTTGACATTTTGGTGTAGCTGTTTTTGGTTCTTTCATTGACTCACTCGTGAACACACCATTTTTGTTGTCGTGGCCTCCATTTTGTCATCCATGTAATGAGCCACCCCCTTTGTGGGCTGCCTCCATTTTTTGATATGTACGCTTTACATGATTTGTAATAGTAGTTGACCTTAAGCAAAAAATGTGCCTGAAGTGGCTGGTTCCCATACCAGTTCACCCTGTCCAAAATCTAGGGGAAAATGAGAGTGCAAGAGGGATGGTAGGGCCAAAAGATCTGTAGCCTTACTATCAGTGAATGTCCGTTCTAAAAGCTTGGATCCTAGACCAATGGATCACCCAATCTATCATATGACTCTATTACTTGGTACCTTAGATATAGCATAGTGTCTGATATGTCAAAGGTATTATTAATCACTGAGATTGAAGATTGATTAATAGTACCTTTGATAAGTTGGACTATATGTCTTAAGGCTTCCAAGTGAATATTGGTAGGAGCATGCATAAATTGGTATACTTGATTTACTGCAATGGCAATGTCAAGACAAATAAGAGTAAGATACTGAAGCGCACCTGCCATGCTCATATACTTTTCAGGATCATCAATTAATTTTCCTTCTCCAACTCTCAATCGTTTGTTGGCTGATGGTTTGCAATTAATGTATTATAGTGCTCCATTAAATCCAATGCATATTTTTGCTGAGACAATTGAATTTTATCCTCGGTTCGATCCACTTCTATTCTCAAAAAATATCTTAGCTCTCTCAATGAAAGGTGTAGCTATGTGAAACTCAAGGTATTAAATTCAAAAAAAATTCTTTTACTTTTATTTCAAATACTTGAATTCCACTTACATGTGATACAATATATTGATGGAAAATTAAAACAATGCCCTAAATACAACCTAGTATCGTTATTTTCACTGCCAAGAGAAAAAGAAATTATCCAGGAACTTTAAACTTTCTTTACAATTTTTTGCACAAAATAAGTTCTTAAAAATTTACAGAAAAATAGAAAATAAAACTGAAAAATAAATAAAAACTAATGGGAAGATTTATTAAAAGATGCCTGGAGTTACCCAAGCAAGACTTGGTACACCCCACAACCGATTCCCTGACCAATGACGCGCTTTTGCTCCTTAAGATGTTGCTGAAAATTCTAAGATATGGAAGCTTTGTAGGCAATCCTTTTTCCTCTAGGGTTTTAGGGAGCTCAAGAATAATATAGGGTTTATAGAGACCCTATAGGAACAAAATAGGTTGATCTTGCAAGTTAATCTCTCTAAGCTAGGCTTCTCTCTTCTTTCTTCAAAAAATACAGCAAACCTATTTTTAATTCCTCATCTTCTTCTTCAAAAATAAACTACTCAAAATAAAACAAGAGAGAGAAGGAAATAGAGAGTACGTGACTCTCCAGGCTGGAGAGAGGGTGGCTTGATGCCCAAAAAAAAAAGGAGAGATGTGTGTGTGAGAGAGAGAGAGAGGTCTCTCTTTACTTTGTGCGTGGAGGAAAGGGGAGAGAGAAGGTGGCGTGAGAGAGAGATCCCCCACCTTTTGGTGTAGAGAGAAAGAGATCCCCCACTTTTTGGTGCTTGAGGGAGAGAGAGAGATCCCCCACTTTTTGGGTGCGTGAAGGAGGGAGAGAAGATCTTTTGGGAGAGAGAAAAGATCTTGTGATGGATCTCAAATAGGTTCAAACTTGGTCTTTAAATATTAAGAAATCTAGAAGAAAACCTATCTCCTAGTTTGAATGGGCCTTATCTAATTTACAGCTAAACCTTTTAGGATAAATGGGAAATCCGTGGGGTGAGAGATTAATCAGAACCATCCATCCCAAAAATTAGCCATCATAGTTTGGGTGAAAAGATTAGGAACTTTTTCTCCTTGCACTTTGGCCCAATCCACTCCTATTTAAAATATAAATCCAATCAAATGTAAACTTTATCTATATCTCTTATTTAAGTTTGAAATCAAACTTAAATATTATTTAAATCTAGATTTTCCACAATATTGACAAACCATATCTCTTTAGATTTCCCATCTTTAGATTTAGTAAGTTAAATTTGAAACAAAATAAAAAGGGGGCGTGCCCCTTTCTTCTTAAAATATGGTGTGGAGCCATATTCCACAAAAAAAGTGACATGGGGAATACTATGCCACAAAAAGTGGCGTGCCCCTCCCCCCCCCCTTCTCCTATTAAAAAAAAAAGGCGTGGCCCCTCTTCTTTTCTGTTTTTTGTTAAAAAAGAATTTAAACTTTTAAAAGTGGCATGCCACCCTAGGAGCCCATGTGGTCCCACATGGGTGGCACACACATGTAGGGGTTGGATCCTTGGTTCCCACATGTGCCTAAAGAAGTTTTGAAAATTTTAGAAATACCCTTTTATAAAATTTATAGCAAAAAAAATATTTAAAAATTCTGAAAAAATATTTAAAAATCAAAGAAACATTTATAATACCAAAATAAAATATATTAAGAGTAAATTGGTACGAATGGGTCAAAATAAGCGACAATAAAGGCACCCCTCTCGTCTCATAAACCATGATCCACACCTGCTACTTTATCCAACCTAACAAAGTCTCATGACCCACAATCTCTTTGCAGGGATTTATGATTGGCTTGCAAAGTTGGATAATAAACAGTGGGATCATGATCCTGGAATGTGGATTTCAGTTCCCCCCTTTAAGAGCAAGTCTAGCACTTGTCACTACAGTGAAAGGGGGCTCTTTCATTTGTACATGTACACGTGTCCCTTTAAAGGGTTGCTTCCCATGCGGTTGTCATGTATACATGCAATGTGGAAGTTGTTGAGAATTTGGCCCTTGCTCTCACAGACCTACAACCGCACACAGGAGACCACACCGTTATCTTGGCCTACAAACATTATCCCTGGGCATCTTTCCGACCTCAACAAGGGATGCCCTTTTTCAAACCCTTCTCGGTTATACCACATGCCCAGGGCCAAGGGTTTTGGACATGACCAGGGTCATAAACCCTCGGTCAGTCAATACACATACTCCCACTGAAGTGCATATTCTACTATGCATCATTTTTACAAGCTCTCTAGGCCTTTAAAGGCCACAAAAAACCCTACACCAAAATCTTTCATTTTACCCTTGGTCAGTCAACACACATACTCCTACTGAAGTGTATATTCCACTATGCATTATTTTTCAAGCTCTCTAGGCCTTTAAAGGCCACAAAAAACCCTACACCAAAATCTTTCATTTTATACTTGTCGTGGAGAAATCTCTAGATATTTGCAATAAGGTATGAAGAATTTCCTATGATAATAATATCATCTACATAGAGAATGATCGCAATACATTTAGAGCTCGTGGGTAAATAGGATGTGATTCACTACTGTCTTCATAAGACTAGATTGCTTTTGATGAGGGCGAAAAACAGTACAACTAGAGAGAGAAGAAAAACTAGCAAAATGGGAAGAAGAAAGAGAATTAGTGGGAGATAAGCTCTACCACTGAAATTTTTTATTCAGGTTTCATTAGTTTCACTTCAAGATTACACACCCCTAGATTGGCACAACACATCCCCCTTTTATACATGCTTTTACCAAATGGTCAACATTCTTTATAGCCATACCTTTCCCACAACAAAAAACGAGAACTTCCTAAGACATTATTAATCATCCTGCATTTTCCAGATCTACCACAACTTCCAAACGCGCAAGACTTCTCTTTGACTTCCCTAGACATTAATTACCTTAGAAAATACAAAACGTAAGAAAGACACCTTGGAATGACAAAATCCATGCGGAATGGCACACTTAGTGAACCGACATTGTCATGTCCACAGTCCTAGTCACTCACAAACTGTCCTACATGGCTATGAGGGCGCACACTGGCCTACATCAGTCTCCCCAGGTGCAAAAGAACTCACCCACGAGTTCTCATTTGACAATCCCGTAATATTCAGTCAAGTCTTGCACATTAATTGTGGGATGCGCGGATATGAGGGGGTAACTCAAGGGTATAGGCATTGTCATTGATGCTTTTCAAGATACAGCACTGGGCCACTTTC